TCTCTCTGCTTCTCTATAAATATCTCCTTTTTATATTAACTGGGCTGATTTTAATGTTTATTGCAGCTTTTGATCTCCTTCAGCCACTGAAGTATACTATATTTAACAATGTTCAGTTAATCAAAAGCACTGGGAAAACTGGAGGGTTCCCTTGCTACAACTGTTGGGTCCTATCAAATGCAGCACAACAGATTAAATAGACTGTTCGTGTCATTATGGGTAGGTGATCCTGTATCACTGTGAGACCTGGTGGCTTGGGAAGAAGTACATACACTATTCACAGGGAATTTCCCTAACTCTAAAAATAATTTAGCCCCTACTTCCCCTATTACTTGGTCTATGAGTCACAAACAACATGCATCTACCTGGCATGAGAACATGAAGCCATACATAAGGCAACCTAAAGACTCCTGAACCATCTTTGCACTGATAGGGATATCTGACTGAGCCAACATTCAAATTTCAAACTCTTTAAGTAACTAACCATAAAACCTCCACTGGTTGAGTGCATGGCCAAACAACGTGCATGTAACAGCCTTATGGGAAGTGATAAGCAAACTGTGTTGCTAAGTGAAAATTTGTTAAGTAAGCTTTGCCCCATTTTACAACTTTTCTTGCCATAGTTGTTAAGTAAACCATTGAATTCGTTATGTAAGTAACGTGGTTGTTAAGTGAATCTGGGCTCAACTGTGGTCGTAAGTTCAGCGCCACCTATAACAGAAAACCTTGACAAGGATTGTAAAACTACCTTTTAAAAGCACATAGCCTGATCCGGTTTGTAAAAATGTAGACAAGTAACAGACAACTGCAAAAGCTTAAAAGCTTTCTGCAGGTATTCAAAATGTATTCCATGAGGTCCATAGGAATTTTTGAGAGGCTAACAGTATGAATTTGACTGTGGTCATCATCAGCAGCAGCATTTGGAGACAGGCAATTTTCTATCACTAGAACTTTCCCTCTTGATCAAGAATTCCAGAAGTCCAACTTTCTGTAACTTTTGCCACCGTTTAGTAGTGATTTTTGTAGACCAAATCTGCTCATATTATTCAAGGTATCGAAAGGCGAGCCAGTCTGGTGTAGTAATTAAAGCGTAGCCCTAAAAATCAGGAGATTGTGAGTTCTAGCCTGACCTTAGACATGAATAAAATGGTGGGTGACTTTGGGCCAGTCACTGTCTCTCAGCTCAATTCACCTCACAGGGTTGTTGTGGGTAAAATAGGAGCAAGGAGTATACCTTGAGTTGTGTATGAAAAACAAAGGTGGGGTTAAAATAAATAAATAAATAGAAACCTACTGATGGACAGTGATTTATTTTCTTAATCTCACAATTGTTGGAAAATGCCCAACCCAGGTAATGAAAAGGAATAAAGTGGAGATCACTGGTAAGTTTTGAGATCACTGGCAAGTGCAGCTGCAAGAGATCCAAGACTGATCTATCCTAGGCTCCATGGAACCTTATCTATCTGTTCCCAAGGGAAGGCAAGCAGATTCTTATATTACGGGTCGAATTTAATAAAATACTTAGCTTGAACTCTATAAATGTGGCTCTGGTAGTTTGTACTTGACATAATTTTAAAAAAACTTGGTTTTATGTATGTATGTATGTATATGTATGTGTGTGTGTGTGTGTGTGTGTGTGTGTGTGTGTGTGTGTATATATATATATATATATATATATATATATATATATATATATATATATATGCTCATATTTATGCCAATATTTCTCAATCTTAGCAATTTTAAGATGCGTGGACTCAGTTCCCAGAATCTCAATCTCAATCTCTCTCTCTCTCTCCCCCTCTCCCTGCAATTCTTGGTAAGGTATATATTGAGTGCTCATGGAAGGATAGTATAGTTTGTTCTCACACCTTTACTGCTCTAGCTACAAAGCCACACATAACTTGACTGCTGATGAAAAATCCCTCTCTACATAATACGACTTCTAAGCTTTTTGCATGTTCATATTGAATCTTTGTGCCCTCTAAATGCTGAAGACATCAAATAATCTTCTCTCAAAGTCTTGCAAACAGTTCTTAATATAATTCTTTGCTTCTTGCTCAATAATCATAGCTTTCTTCAGTCTCAGTATCTTACTGATACTGATCTACAACCACAAAATATTAATACACTTTTGTTCTGCCATAGCTAGCATTGTGGAACTCACTGATGATCAGCTTCAACTGTCAAAACAAAATGGAAAGTATGGAATAACTGCCAATTCTGCAATTTCATTCCTTACTGATATACCATGAATAGTATATTAGACTAGCATAAACTCTTAATTTTGATACATATTGTTTGGCAGAACAGAAAGATTCTTCACATTCACGCACATTCAAATATCTCATTGGTAACTATTTACAACTGGTAAAACTAGCTTTAAATGCATCCAGTGACGTATTTTAAATAATGCTATTTATGCTGTCCCTCCGCCTGCAAGAACTGATCAATTAAGCTGTGTTGCATAAAGTACCTTTGAAAGATGCGTAACTAAAAACACAAATCTCTTGACCTAGTGTTCAGTAGCACCACGGAACACACAGCAATAATAAAGGAGAAGTCCTATGAACAGAGAGAATATCCACAATACAACTAGGAGAGGGGCTCTGTTACACACCCAGGCTTAGGCACAGAACCAGGTTTTCAAACACTTCTGAAAAGCCAGAAGATTGGGGATGATCTGATTTTGAGAGGAATTGTATTCCTCTGAGAAACAGAACCAAAATCCTCTATCAGCTTTCCTACTGCCCATCACTAACTAACATTACCTCGCCTACAGCTACCAGATCTGGGCTGCAAAAATCTATATCATGACAAGATGGCAATATTCTTTTTGCTATTAAGTAGTCATCTGAGTTTTTGCAATCCATTATCTGGTGCTCCATCCCTGGCTATTACAAATATCTATGCCTTCTCTGTTGCAACATTTGCTCTCAGAAGAGCATTGTACCACTCAATCTTGATGGAATTTAGAAAGTCTTTGAAAATGTGGCAGCATGATATTCTATGGATCTTGACTGTCGTGTTAATATTAAGCCAGTATAAATGATGGTCTTCCATCTGATTCATAAAGTAATTTTTTCTGAGTTATTACAAAAATGCTGTCTGTTCTACATTTTTCAGTTTGAGAGGAAGTCTATTTAATTAGATTACTAAAAATTACATAAACATAATTTCATGCATTCATATTTATATCTAGGTACTCTAGGAATAAAACCTCAACTTAATTATGCAATTTTGTCACTATTAACATTGATACTAATTATTTTGGGGCTTGATTAAGTTGCCAGATTCAGCTACCCACGTATCATCATGAGGATTAAAACCGTCAGATATTCAAGTTAAATCAAATGTTGGTCTATCACAGGGACTCTTCATGTTATTCTTTAGGAAACCTATAAATTTAAAACGTGAATGGTCTTGATGGGACAAAATACAGACCAAATACAAGTATTCTAGAGACTGGGCACATGATTATGATTACAGAGGCCATTTAAGTGATTCTACATGCTGAAGTGCCACACCCGTGTGGTAAGCTGTAATCATCATGAACATCACTGTAATTCTGAGTTTGCTGGGTCATGGAAAAAAGTTGCTTGATCCATGTCAGGGAGAAAACTTCATGACACAAAGAGTACGGTAGTTAACAGCAGGGCATGTAGCTTGGCAGAACCTATGATTTAAACATGTATATCAGCTGTCCAAGACAATTCTGAGCTATCTTATATCCTCTTATTACTGGCAGAAAGTATCCAGGTTTTACCACAAAACCAACCTCTCCTTAGTGTCACTTTGGAAAGACTGAAATATTTTTCAGACACTGTATCTAAAGTGGAACTTGAAAAATTTAAGACAAGTTAAAAAGAGGAGGCAGGCTGTCTAGAAATCGTAGCAACAATCTCAAGCAGGCGGACAAAGAATTTAACCTGAAGTTGAAATATTAAACACATTTCTGTACTGCTGGTTTCTGCCTTAGGAATATACACCTCTCCCCACAGTAAAATTAAGCATTTTCTGCCAGAAAGATTTTACAACTAATGTGTGGAATTTGATATGACGGAGGAAAAAGATGATTTTAAGGGTTCTTAGAATTCCCATCACAGAATCTGGAGAGCTTGCAGGAAAGAACTGGCACTTGCAATCTTAGGGGTCAGCAAATTAATGATAGAAACTAAGAAAAAGATACAAATAAGTTTTGCTAATATGGGTTACCGAAGCTAAATTAGACTCCTGAAAAACTGTTGATGAGCCAAATAGGACATTAAAGCGTTCTCTTCTTTACTGATAGTATCCAAAGATTTAAAACCTAATCAGGACACATAATGAGTCCTATCTGTTGTCAGCGTACTAGATTTTGTCTCACAAGTAATTTTTCGGTTTGGTGAAGCATGCTGAAAATGCAGCAAGCATTTTAAAAAGCCAAAGTGAACTGACTGATGATAAACTAAGGTCTTCCAATGTGGATACAGATATAGACAAACCCCTTACAATGTATATAAACTTGAAACGCAAGCACAATAATCCATTATTAACATTAGCCTCCCTACATCTTAGAACATTATGACACACTTAACAAGTTTGCTGTATACAACAAAAGCGACACCAGTTGCACCACTTCACGGTCATGCTTCATCAGCACTGGAAAGTCTTTTCAGAAGGCCAGGTTAAGAACCAGACAAACAAAAATGCAGAAGACTCTTTTCTTCCCAAATGCAACAAGCAGCAAACACCTCCAACCAATCGGCACAAGCACAGTACCACTCTTTAGTAGTAACACACCCTTTCCTGAAACTTTGTAAGCCATCATTGTTTACCTCCAGGGACAATCTCTTCCTTGCTCTCAGATCACGGCTAAATTCCCTTGCTCCGGTTTCCCCTGCAGGGAAGGAAATGGAGCTACTTATACTTCCTCACCCTTGAATGGCAAACCTAGCAAATAATTTTAAGCAGGGAAGGAGGAAGGAGGAAGAAGGAAGGACCGGCAGAGACTTTATGACCTGATCCGAAGCTGAAGGAGAAATCCTGCAGGTGAAGAGTGTGGGCCACTGGAAGAGGACAGGCTGCCAGCCTGTGGAGATTCAGTCCTAGTTTGGAAAGAGAGGTCTCTGTTTATCCAGCTGCCTCCTCCCCATGCTGCAAATCATGACAGCTCTTTTTTAAAACAACCGAGAGCACTTCCTCTTACAACAGCTACTAGTGAGGGAGGCTACCGCTACAAGGGGCGGGAATGGAAAGCCGGAGACGTGCAGGCTTACTGATCTTGGCTAAGCTGGGGCAAACTGTCTTTTGCTGAATAAAGACTACATGCAAGAGCTATGCTACGTAAGATCAGATTAGTTGTATTTTGTCAGCTCCTGTTTAATACAGAAACGTAAACATAGAGGGGAGAGAACAATGCCACATACCCCAGAAACATGTCTTAATGAACATGTTTGCAAACCCTGCACATTACAAAGGAAAAACCTTAATTCTCAGGACTACGTATACCATAGGATTTTCCTCCCATGCTTTTGGGATGCTTTCATCCTCCTGGTTTTGAAAGACTACACTGGAAAGTCAAAGGGAGGTGCATACAAGATATCTGGAAGTGAAAAAAACTATAAAGAGAGAAATGGAATCTTCCTTAGCTAATTCTTGTTGTATTAAATACTGCTTTTCTGCCCTATAATAGTCCTATATTTTGACCTGATTTTGCTTCAGTAAAAGGTCATCCTCCTGCTTCATTTCCACTCCTCCGTGAGCAATTCTTCCATTTAAATAGACCCTGTTCTCGATGACAGCAGCTACTAACTAGCAAGCGAGGCTGCTGCTAGAAGGGGCGGGAATGGAAAGTTTATCAGTGATGCCTCTTTATCTTGAAAATAAAGGCTGATAAATTATTCTATTTGGGGAAAACAAGCCCAAATAGCAACACACCCTACTCCACGGAAGAGCATTAGTTTCCCTGAAGGCCTGGGGTATTTTCCCCTTTCTTCTCTCTTCTGATGTTTCAAGTCATTTTGCGAGTTATTTGGGGTAGACTGATTCATTTTTCTCAACAAAGAAAACATGGATTACAGTGCGTGCCAGCATATTCTGGTGGGGGGGGGAGGTTAAAGGATAATTTGTAATAGATTCTATAGGGATAACCCATCCTATGGTCACGTTGGTCTTAAAGACTGACATATTATCACAAAACCTTTCTTGAATTATCATCTACCTCATCACTCAAATATTTATATGGGTGGATTTTTTTAAATATATGGATACATACATATACTTTAAACATATCAAAGACTGTCACAAATTAATCTTGTGTGAGTTTTATTTAGTAAAATGTGCACAAAAGTGTTCTCAAATAAGCTTTATTTTTCCTTTTTCCAACTTTTTGCTTCTTTCTCCTTCACCGATATGTATATTTTATCAGTGTCCTTCTCAAAAGCTTTCATCTTTATTAAATATCAAAACTGTACGGACTTTTGTATTCTTTGATAAGGGGAAAAAAAAACCCACATAGGCCTCTCAGCACATGCATTAACCTTTTAACTACATTGCTGAACAATCCTATATTTTTCAAAATCAGATGAATAATCTGTACTGCAGTATCTAAATATTAAAGTAATCCTACTGATTACCCCATATAATTTTTTCAGCCTTTTAAGAGAAAACAATTGGAAAAGCACCATTCTTCATGCTATAAGTGTATTTGCTATGCATGTTGCAGCACTACAGTAATATATCCTGCTAACATATGTGTGAAGTACAAGTGGGTTTTGAAAGAAAAGGTTAAAATGCATCTTTCCCTCACAAAAAAGATTCCGAGTATGATCCCTCCTCTCACTGTTTGGCATTTGCTCTTAAATATTAAGTGTTGTGTAAATCTGGGGTGTCACATGGCAACACTGTTCATCTTACTATTTTGGTTCCCAGTTTCATATCCAATGCGCTGAACTTGCTATTGGAGACAGTGGTCACATGCATGTGAGTCTATCTTTACATGGACATATTTTTGGGGTGCTAATGTGGGGGTGAATCACTGGATGTTATCATAGATATGTGGTATGAAATTCTGAGTAACCCTGAAGTATGTGCTGCAATCACATTTGTTCCAAGAATTAGTCAACTGTCCTTTTGCAGAACAATCTAGCAAACAGAAGTTGAGTGGTTGGAGACCAATTATTACCCAGATTTTAAACATTTCATATTATTACCAGAGACATTGATTTGGGGGTGGGGGGAAAGACTGCTATAAAGTAGCAAAGACTTATTCAATTTTGCTGTTCATTTTAACTGGTTCAGCACAGGATAATTTATACTAATGTATCTTACTATTTAAGAAAGGAAAAAGAGGAGGGGGGCTCATAAATTAGCTATGTGTAAAAAGCCACTATACAATGTTAGCTAGGTTAGTTAGCTAGATAATAATACCTAAGCCTATCACGGCCTGGACAGTCTGTAAGCTGTCATTCTCTTCCTGCCATACCAAATATAAGAGGGAGAAAATGCTAGGCAATTGCCATGGACATGTTCCACTGGTGATCCTGGGGAAAAGCCTCATAAAGAGAATCATTGACCTAAGCAGAGAGATGGATCCAGGTCTAGAGCAGTTATCATTATACAGGAATAAACAATACCAGGTGAAGGTATATGAAGCTAGTAAAAAGCCAAAAGCCATTTTCAAATCCTTAATGAAGGCTGCCTGTGCAGAATGCAAACAATCTTTCATATATCCCAGCTAATACAGTTTCAGGAACATAATATTTCTGTTTATTAAAAAAAGGAAATGTAAAAAAAAGATATACTCTGAAGGCTGCCTGTGCAGAATGCAAACAATCTTTCATAATCCCAGCTAATACTTTCTAATATCTGTTTACTCTGCAGATTTTTAAATTCTTCTATTCTACATAAAATTTTATATACTTTTTCTTACATTTCTTTTCTTTTCCTGTTAATTCTTCTTTCTCTGGTTTTTTTTTTTAAAACTTTTCTTTTTCCATTATTTTGTATTTTATTAGTTTTGGAAATTCAGTAAATTTATATTTAAGAAAGGAAGTATGCTACAACCCAGATAAACAGCAGACAGAAACAGTCTATTAATTTATTTAAATCATTTTATACTGCCTTCTGCAGGCCAGTTCACAATTGGTCTTAAAAACAATAAACAATTCTTAGACCTTAAAAACAGTAAAATAAAAAAAAGTTGATAGTATCAACAGAGCTAACCATTACAGCAAAACTAAACAAAAAAGCACAGATTCAAAATAAGAATTAAAACCTCTTGTAAGTAAAAATATTATCAGCTGGTATCATTTGTTAGGCAACATTTGAAAAGTTTTTCAAATGGCAATACCATAGTAAGAATACCCTTTCCTTGTTGCCAATCCATCTCACCTTAGACAGACTTCAAGAAAAAAAGGGCTTCTAAATGTAATACAGCAGGTTAATAAGAGGAAAGATTTAATTAAGATAGCAAATCTAAAATGATCCACATGAATCAGTTTAGTGAAAATAAAATACATAAAAGTGAAATGTTAGTTGGATACAGGTCCTTTCTTGATGTTCATGAAAAATTGGACTGTAATTATCTCTTTCCCAATTCAGACAAAATCATTTTTCAGACCTCATTTTTAAATTCTGACATAAAGAAATAAAACAGAATATATTGGAATTTCTGAGCAGACTTCTTATTGTCACTGGGACAGTTGTCTTGTGAGAAAAAAATGCATCTAAAAAAAATTATCTCTGCTTGCTGCAGACTCTTAGGGCACTGGTGACAATGAGGCATCCCTATATAATCCACTTCAATCATAATTTAAATAACAAAAATAAAGATAAATGGGAAGTTATTTTTCATTTTCTTTCTATCTCCTTTTCCATCTGTAGCATGTCTTTTTAGACTAGAAGCCTGAGAACAGGAAATGCCTGTCTTTTATTATTAGATAACCTGCTGTGGAATATTTTTTAAAAACACTTAAATATATCAAACAAATACATTTTTTCTTAAATTTTCTAAGCCAATTCTGTAAGTCGCACTACTTTTGCTTAAGGTCATGAGGAGCACAGGAAAAAAAAAAGAATTGGATAGGCCAGGGGTAGGCAACCTTGGCTCTTTTATGACTTGTAGACTTCAACTCCCAGAATTCCTGAGCCAGCCATGCTGAGGGGAAAGGGAGAGATTTCCAAGCTGAGCCATGCTGGCTCAGGAATTCTGGGAGTTGAAGTCCACGAGTCATAAAAGAGCCAAGGTTGCCCACCCCTGGGATAGGCGAAAGCAAATTACTATCTCTCCACTCATCTTCCTTCATCTCAGTGTCCTCATGAGGTGTTGGCTGTGCCAGCTGGGAATTCTGGGACTGCAGCTCAAAACATCTGGAGAACTCTACAGCGTGCCATAACAATTCACAGAGTTATAACTTGGACTACTTCCATGCAGATTTCCCTGAGCATCTGGGAAGAAGAAAAGGTTTGTGAACATCTAGCAACCTGGTGAGGAACGTGACTCCCAAAGCTGGCAGAAGCAAGCATTCACTTGACCTTTTCAGAGCCTCCACCCACTTTTCTCCAACTGAAAGGTGATTATGCTGGGTAAACAGATCTGTGGTTGACTCATCAACATGCAAATTTCAGAAAGAGGTTTCCTGAGTAAAATGAAAGAACAGGATTTTTTTTTTTTTAAAAAAAAAGTAGGTTGCCTCTGTCTAATAAAATTGAAAAAGTGTTATTAGAATATGTTTTTCTGGTCAAAATAAATTATAGGAAGGACAATAGAGAAGAGAATGTGCATCCTGGCTATCAAAAAATTTAACTCATAAAGCACTAATTGAATTCATGATATCCATAACGTTTTTAGTATACCAGCATACCTCAGAGATATTGCTGGTTGTATTCCATTTCAATAAAGCAAATATTGCAGTAAAGTGAGTCACACAATTTTTTTTGGGTTTTCCAGTTCATATAAAAATTATGTTTATACTATTATTGCAGTTTATCAAATGTGCAATAGCATTATTTTAAACAAACAATCTACATACCTTAATTAAAAATATTTTATTGCTAAAAATGCTAATCATCATCTGAATCTTCAGCAAGTTATAATCTTTTTGCTGATGGTAGTCTTGTAAAAAACCCCACAATATTTGCACAGAACAATAAAGCAAAGCACAACAAAATAAGGCAGGCTTTCACATGAATGTCCTAAAGCCATGGACTGCAACTTTTTCAATATCAAGAGGCGTATTTGGCTTTTAAGCAGTGGGCTTAAAGAAGCACACTCCAAAACTTGGAGGGATTAAGACAAAAACTATAATTTAATTTAATTTGATTTCATTATAGTTAAACATTTAGTAGAATTGCTCTCATATGTGGCATTTAAATCATTTTCTTATGTCTTTTTACAAATTATTGTAATGAGCTTCGGAATCATTGGGGGCCATTCCATGACTTCTCTGAGCTAACACTGGGGCCTTAAACTATGCATCTAAAGAAAGGAACTGATAGATTACCACAAAATTAATTCATGAGTTTACAACTAACATTTTTGAGAAATAGTTGGACTGAATTTTTCTTTATAAATTCATCAACTTATTAACCAGTGGAAATTAGGTATATTGTTAACATTTTTTTATTGGATCATGTTTTATTCAATTGGCCCCAGATTTTGATTCATATGTAATTCATAGAAAAGATGAAATCTGCAGTAATTATTCACAATTACATTTATTTGCATACTGACTTGACTGGGATCATATGGACTGTGCTCAGCACAATTTGCACGATAGTTTAATTACAATAACCATGATTATATTCCAGCAGTAAAGTAATTCAGTATTTCCTGACTTTCCATGTATATACTAGAGTTCAAGAATTTATTATGGTCTTACAAACATGCTATTATTAATCTCCAATCCATCACAAATTAAGGAAGCACAGTTCGTACATACATATATTATTGTTCTTTTAATTTACCCTTGTAATAAATACCCCTACTATTAGAGGAGAAAGACAAAACAGAAATAATGTGCAAAGGTTGCTGTCTCAACCCACTTTCCTTTTAGAGAGAACTCTGTTTGTTATATTTTTATCCCATCTTTCTCCAAAAAGCTCAAGGTGACATACATAACACCTCCTCCTCTAATTTATTTTCTAAAGAAAAGATTTCCCCCCAGGATTTTCCTCCCAGGATTACTATTGTCTATGCCAGGGGTAGGCAACCTCAGCTCTTTTATGATTCATGGACTTCAACTCCCAGAATTCCTGAGTCAGCTTGGCTGACTTGGGAATTCTGGGAGTTGAAGTTCATGAGTCATAAAAGAGCCGAGGTTGCCTACCCTTGGTCAATGCAATGAAAGGAAAAGAAGCTAAGGAGAAAAAGGTGGGAAGAATAACAATTCCATAGAACAGTGATGGCGAACCTTTTAGAGACTGAGTGCCCAAACTACAACCCAAAACCCACTTATGCATCGTCGAGTGTCGGGTGGGTGTGGCCCATTGGGTGGGTGTGGCCATTGGGTGGGTGTGGCCAATTGGATGGGTATGGCTGCAGTGGTAACGACAGACTGGGTGGGACTAAAAAGTTCAATCAATCAATTCCAACTTTGTAAGATCTTTTTTTTTCCCCGCGAGAAGTTGAAATTGACTGACTGAACCTTTTTTTTTTTTTTTTGCACACGGCAGCAGAGGCCTAAAGTGAAAAGGTTTTATAAAACCCAGCTGAAGGTCTAGGACTGGGGTGACGGTGTGCGTGCCCACAGAGAGGGCTCTGAGTGCCGCCTCTGGCACCTGTGCCATAGGTTCGCCCCCACTGCCATAGAATAAGAACTCCCAGATTAGAGCATTTTTGAAAATAAAAAAGTATATTGGAGATCTTTTAACTTGGTGCTATCTTAGAGCATATTCATTACAATTCCAGAAGGCAAGCATCATAGCATAGCACCAAAATTGGGAGATAATAAACTTGACATTAAAACTAATTGGTTTTTTTTTCTTAGCTGAACATTTTTCCTTAAAAATTCATTAATTCTTCAGTTGCTCCTTAACCTTATTTAAAGGTTAGGAGGTAAATTTAAAGTTAGTCCTTTTCCTAAAAAACATTCAGAAGTTTGATAGAGACTGAAACTACATTTTCATCTCTCACAGCCCCAAATCAGTTGTGCATGTTGGGAGAAGAAGAAAAAAAAGAAATTCACAGGACTTAACAAATGATTTCCTAAATAAATGCAAATTGGAAACAACTTCCCAGATATGAAGATGGAGGTGCCATTCTCAAAAAATGTGTGGGTCCCACCCAGGACAACCAGATATTGACATCATACAGTTAACTACAATCTTTTAGACAAAGGTAAATCAATCATATATGGTTCATTTGCATCTGACCTCCTACAGTCAAAGATGCTGTCGTTGTTTTTGCCACAGTCCACATGCAAGTAACTACACTGCTAATTTCATGAAAGAACTGGCCTTATTTTAGAGCATAAATAGATGCAAGACAATAGCTTCAAACAAGCTTGGCTCAAAGGAATTGTACTTTTTATATAATATAGCATTTTAAAAAAGATTTAATATGTGCATTCAACAAATATATTTTAATTATATGTAGCAGATGGAGAGGATTGTTCTGTGCTATTTTTATTAGCATACAGGATATGGCATAGCCAGTCACAGACTGTCTCTTTTTAATCCTTTCTCTTTAGTTTTTAAAAGCTGCCCTACAAATTGAATTTATTCCAAACATTTGGGATACGTTCAAAGACACATTTAAGCATTCAAGTGACACTGTGCAACATATTATCTGTTCCACTGAAAAATTTCTGTTTTGGAAATCATTATAAGTGATCATCGAAGCAAGTAAGCAAATAAAAATCTAAGGAGCAATTCCATGCATGCTGATTTGGGAGTTAAGATTCGTTCTTATTCTATTCTTTAATTCTCTGAACACTATTAAAATTAGACTTAATACTGTACAATTAATACATCCAAGTAAAGTGATGATGCTTAGTGTCCAAATAAAAAGAAACCTGGTTGTTACAAATTTCTTTGTATGTCATAAACAAATGTGTTCTTTCCTTTGGTTCTAACAAGCAGTAAGAAAAAAAGAGGATTCCAAACAGTTAACCTAAGCATAGCTCAAATATAGTACATTTACATGTTTTAATCACTTCTTAAATTAAAGACTCCCCGCTTGATTAACAAGCAAGTAAACATTAAGAGTATTTGAACAAGTTCTTATAATATAAATACTTGGAAAATTTGCAATGACTAAATATTTTAAACACCTCGACAGTCATCCTCCATGGGGTAGGGAGGAAATAGGGCCCCATATGCACATTTCCTAAAAATCAAGTAAGTTTCTTGCTTTAGAACTGCTATTGTTATTTATATGCAACTTTAGTCGATAGACGAAGACTTATTCAACTACTCCAGGGGTCTTCAAACTTGGCCCTTTTATGACTTATGGACTTCAACTCCCAGAATTCCTCAGCTAGCATGCCTGGCTGAGGAATTCTGGGAGTTGAAGTCCACAAGTCATGAAAGGGCCAAGTTTGAAGACCCCATTTCTAAGATAAGCCTGGCTTGGTTCAACAGCACAACTGGATCAGGTGCTAGCTAGTCTCTGAACTATTAAGCTAGAACAGGGGTAGACTCGTAGACCTCAACTCCCAGAACTCCTGAGCCAGCCACTTTTCATTCTTGCACATCAAAGGCAGTCTTTGTGATCCTCAATACACTCATTTGCTGTCCATGATGCTGCTGCCAGTACTTCAGTGAAGGAGCAAAAAAACCGGACCAAATCACACATACATGCATTTTGTTAAAAAAAAAAAATCCTGTTATGCAAGAATTCTCCAAAGAATGATAAAGTATTCTCCACCAACAGAAGGAGACTATAGACTCTCTCACACTGATTTAAAAGTATTTTCCCCTTCCCCAAACCAACATTGGCATAAAATGTCTTTCTAGGCTTCAGCAAAATCCTAACAGTAGCTAGCAGCTGCTATTAGTGCAGGGTTAATTGTATTGACCCTAATAACAGGGAGCTCCCAGGAGGGAAGCAGGCAAGTTCTCATTAATGGCTTCTCTTTTTAAATGAACTTCCCTGAGAGCAAGGCTGAGTGTCACGGCAGAGGCTAATGAATAAATGCTATAGAAGGTACTGCGCTCTACAAAGGAATTCAACAGTATTGTCCTCCCCTCTTCCCAGGGATGCATCTGCAGGGATTTTCTCCCATAGGAATCATTCTGACAATGACCTGACTCTATTAAATGAAGAAGAAACAAAGAAAGGTGTGATTAGCTATGAATACTTGCAAGGAAACCATGATTAATGAAGTGAAATTATGTAATGCAATGCATATGAACTCACTTTCTCTCTCTACGATCTGAGCCAAACTGGTGAAGTAAAAAAAAAAAAAACACTGCTTACCAGAACACTATACGGTTGAAGACAACAACAATATCGCTTTTGATATTAAAACAAAACCTAACCTGTCAAAAAGATCCATACAGCCGAAAAACATCATTTTCCCTTTAGTGTTTAAAATTCAGCATTACACCTACCACACTATTTCTAAAGGCCCAAATAAGATGATAACTCTTAAATAAACGTCTTTGCCAACCTGATACCCTCCAGATGTATTGGGACTGCAAATCTCAACAACTCATTAGAGTTCTGTAGTATTGATTTTATTTTCTGTTCTACACGCTGATGAAATTGCAATTCAAGCTTTCTATATGACTTTTCCCCAGCAGCTTTGTAACACAATAAAAAGGTAGGGCACAGAACGAAAATAAGCAGCATCATATAATCCAAAGATCATTAAAACAGGGCTGCAACTGAGTTGCAGCTGTCAAAAAGCACAGAATTATGTTATCAGAGAAAAGGTGATCCAGAGGGATTTATGATTTACAGCATTAAAAAAAAATCCAATGAGATGCAGAAGAAATAATACTCCCCTGTGCCCATTTCCTGGCATAAACACAGAGCTGTTTCCATCATGAATCTTGTCTGGAAAGCAGACTGGAACAGATCTAAAGCACTGATTTCCTTCCAGGCTGCCAGAAGCTGAGATACTAATTCTTTTTCCAGTTTTACACTGGCAGTAGATAACTCCACCAAAGATCTTTTTTTTTTTTTTTAGTACAGATTTTACCACTGGATTTTTAAAAAAGCAAGACTTATGGTTTTTATGAGACAAGCAAGTTTTTGAGAAATATACCCTGCATATTTCACATAAGCTGAAAGGTAGCTAAAACAATATGTCCACATCATGTCTAATCTGCATCCATTCTTTGGCTTAATTGTGCAATGGCAAATCCAAATGAATGCGATTTTACCTACAAAATACAATGTACACTGGTTACAGTGGACTTTCTAAAATTCAGTCAATACAGTATACTGTGTTACCTGAGCATCTATGAAAAGATCTTACTTGCTAGCTTTGGTTAGTAGCATTCTGCAAAAAATGAGGATAGAGTTGCTACTCTCCCAGTCACAGAAAAAAAAATATTCCAATAACATTACACTGTTGTTTGGTTCTGCTTATCACAGAATTTCTATCTTTTGTACCCTAGAAATTGACCCTGCTGTTTTACTGTCACACCTAGGGAAAATACTAGGGAACATACAGTATGTGATTCCATAATGGGTTGAAAAATGTTTGGATTTATTTATTTATTTGTTCATCACATCTCCACTCCACATCTAACCTAAGTGACTCTGAGCGACAACAAACTTCTCATAACATAAAACATAAATAAAACGGAATGAAAAAAAGATCGGAATAAAGATATTAATAATATAATAATAATAATAAACATATTAAAATATGTTTTTAATATCTTTTAAAAGTTATTAAAAGTGAAAGAGTGAAAAAGTTAACAGGGCGGAGAAAACATCCCCATGACACCAACCATCAATAGGGTTTTACAGCACCCTCCGAACCCACCCCCCCCCGTGCCATTTGGCAGAACCAGGTCTTCATACTCTTTCTGAAGGCTAGAAGGGTGGGAGTGGGGCTGCTCCACCTCTAGGAGTAAGTTTTTCCACAGGACACATCTTGCAATGGCAGAGAAGGCTCTCTTCCTGGACTCTGCCAGTCAACATTCTACAACTGATGAGATCCGCAACATATCCCCCCTGCCTGACCTGGTGGAATGGACTGATATAATTGGGATGAGACAGTCTATCAGGTAACCTGGTCCCAGGCAGTGAAGGGCTTTAAAGGTGATAGCCAACACCTTGAATTGGACCAAGAAGCAACCTGGCACCTAATGCAGCTTGAATAGCAGAGGTGTCATATGTGCATCCCTAGGAGCACCCAAAACTGCTCAAGCCACTACATTCTGAACCAGTTGTAGCTTTTTGATATTCTTCAAGTGTAGCCCCATGCACATGTAGAGTACACTGCAATGTCCATATGGGGGAATCACAAAGTATGAGCAACTGAAAGAAGGTCCTCTAGCTCCAGGAAACGGCGTAACTACAGTAAAAGGCAAATATGAGCAAAGGTCCTCCTTGCCACAATTGCCACCTGCTCTTTGAGCAGGAATTGTGAATCTAGGAGGACCTCCAGATGAGGCACCAGATCTGTCTCAGGGAGTACAACCTCATCCAAGATTAAAGATGGTAAACCCCAGATAGAGAGGACCTCCCTACCCAAAGCTACTCTGTCTTACCCAAATAGAGAGCAACAGGTTCAGATGAAGCCTGTTGTTCTCCATCTAGATTCCCACAGTCCCCTGTGCCACTCCTTGGAGACCATTCTACTGACAGTCCAAGTCAATAGAAGATTGAGATGGAGGGAATGAAGCAATGAAGTCAAGACATTTCTTTGACTAAGTGAGGTCCTGAATCTTGATCATTCTGGTTCAAGTCAAACCATAGCCATTTCTCTGGATCCTTAGCGGAGCAGCATGAAAAACCTGATCCCCACAAATAATAAAGCTCACTATATTTCAGTAAAGCCAATATAAAACTTAATGACTATTAATGAACTTAATGAGGGTCCTTGGTGCTCTTTCAGCTTTCTTGCAGATATTTCATTACCCAAACTAGGTAACAACAAGTTCAAAGAGTACCAAGGACCCCTCATTTCAACCCTGAATTAACCCTTTTTTGGTTAATGAACTTAAATGAACAGTATCAGTGTAAAGATTAACCAAATAAATTAAGCATCCTCCAATAAAATATCCTTAACAATTAATCATGAATGCAAACATAATTCCACATTTTAAAAAAATGTATGAGAGTGCACACATAAGCACACACACTTCAAATCGGCACTTTTAACTCTGACACTGAACACTGTTGTCTGACCCAAAAGCCAGCAAGACATGCAGAGTCCATAAAGCATCTTTGGATCCAAGCCCCAAGTTAGTGCAGGTTCTAGAGAGGTGCGAAGCTTTGTTCAGCAGTAGTTGGAACTACAGATAGCAGCATTACAAAGCTTGGGCAAGCTAGTAAAAATACCACATACTTATATACTGCTGGCCTGTGCTTTATCCTGTGGACTCCCCAATGACCAGGTTGGCTGTCCTGAGGACAAGACAGGACATCCCTGTGAGACAGGTGGAGTCTGGGAATACAAAGAGATAAGTCAGCATAACCAAGTCATGTCTCTCATTATGACACACTGTTTTCTTTCTTTGAGCACATGCATGTATCCACACACAAACGAAATACAGAAGGAGTACAATTCAGCAGACAATTCTCTTTTTCTATTCTGAACTAAGGCTAGTTGTTCTCTTTTCTAAATACGCCCAAATAAGCACTCCTAAACTAGGAATGACCAACACCAGAGACTATAGGGCTACACTTCAACTGTTAACTTTGTGAAGTGTCAAAAGAGTCCATCTGTTGACATAACATATGGCCTTCTAATTTTGTTGCACTGAGAGTTCAGGATGAGAAAGGGAGCAGGAAGGCCCATCTGGTGCATTATCCTGGTATGTCAGAGGCCATCTGGTACATTATCTTGTAAGGCTAGGCCAGAGGGGAGTGGGGAGCTACATGTGGCTGGGGGCTGCCAACATGTTATTTTACCAAATAAAACCTCATTTGAAATTAATCTGGATATTCAAAGGATAACAGAACCTACAAGTGGACTAAAGGCAAAAAAAAGAACAGAATGGTTAAGGAAAACAAAGGAAAAAGATGGTCCATGACTAGTTCTGTCTCACCCACTGTTGACTTTAGTCCCATATACCAGTAGTCCCCAACCATTGTGGCTTGGTGGCCCCATGGGGGGGGGAGAGGGGAACCGGGCCATGTGAGTGGAGAGGCCGGTTCGCACTCAACTCCACTCATGCTGTTTGCACAAGTGGACCTGCACACATCCGTGCCAGCCCGCCGCTCATGCAAGTGGAGCAATGTGTGTATGTGTGTGCTGGCCCACCGGTCAAATAGACCAGTTACAA